CAGAAAGTCAAGCGAACTGCAGTCAAAAGTTCACAACAGTCAGCACAGGAAAAAAATGTGGCATGTTGCACTTACGTAGATAGATTTCCTATCTTATGTAAATTGCAAATAATTATTAAATATGGCTTCAGAAACATGAGGTAACGCTTTCAAGCAATCTGATTGTAGGCATTATTGTTTTATTTTCCGTGTATCCTAGGAGAAGTGCCTTCGGGTCCAGGAAAATCAAACAAATATGCGCAGAGAGCATGGCTCTTTGGAAACAATCAACAAGTGAGCGACAGACTGCGCAATCGCAGCAGTCCAAGATGCTCTTTCTTCACTGCTCAGTCGCTCTCCACTCTCGCTGGTGTGTGTATGTGCATGTGTGTGTGTGTGTTTGCGTATCTGTGTGGGTTTTAGAAAACCAGTATTTCGACTCGGGCTCAAAATTACTGGAAGTAGTTGAACGGCTAAAAGTAAATGCAACGCTAATGCATCAGCAACTGCAGCAGACTGGGCCTCAAAGTTCAGCATCGGCTGAAAGCCAAGCTCTGACCATTTCGCAGTTCAATTTGGCCATTATTTATTTGATATGATGGCTTCATCAGCATCGTAGTGGATAAATGCAAAGCCCACACAGATACACACCACACACATACACACACACACATATGTAGGCAAAAGTCAGCGCGTGCCTGTCGCCGTAATTAGCTCCAAAATGGGGGATTTTTCAGGGGGCTCGGACTGGGATGCTGGTTGGAATTGGACTCGGACTCGGACTCGGACTCGAACTCGGACTCGGACTTGGGCTCACGAAGCCGTCGCAGCAAAGCGCACTATGGAATGCGGTTTTTCAAGCGCTAGCACGCACACTCATACCTTGGTGAGTTGGGCTGAGTGTGTGTGTGTGTGTGTATCTATGTGGGGGGAGGTGGGTGGCTATAGTTCTGAACCTAAATGGTAAGCTATTTACAGGAAATCTAAAAAGCAGAAGTGCTTTCAAACTAGGAACTAAGAACTAATAATATTTTTAGGTAATCCACTTAGCAGATAGTAGAATTAACTGCAAATAAAATGCGTCAATGAAAAAATCTACGGAAGTCGATATTGACAACTACAATAATGTCTGATTGAACAATTAAAAGGTGTTTTTTTGCAAGCGAGTGTAGCGTTTCGAACTATAAGGACGTCGAACTATAACAATGGCCATTTTTGTTTCAGTTACCCAACCCCCTACGATTTTTAACGGCTTCGAATCGAGTGCACGTGCAGGCTTTTCCCTAGCATTTATTTGCATACATGCCGCAGCTGTGCTTATTTATGGTCATAAAGAAAAAAGCGATAGAGTAGGGCAGAGCAAGCCACTCGAACAATTTCTGCGAAAAGGGCATTGTGACAGCGATCGTCTATGCGCAAAAAGGGTAATATCATGGCGATTATCGGTGCAAGGGCTGGCTTCTTTATCGGTCTCATAGCTCGCTTATCTCCACGTAGCCAAAGTTTCCGTTTTACTACCAATATTTGCACAGATGCTGGCGCACAATGCGCACATTCAGTTATTAATTTGCAGCTACAAGATCACTGAATACTTGGTATCGACGGCCCGCTTTTATTCGCCTCCCATTTAATTTTTACTTTTTTGCTTGTGTTTGTCCGCCAAATACAAACATTTGCCTCAAAGTACTGTGCAAACAGACACCGCCAGATACGCCGCGGTGTTCATTAAATTGTGGCCAAATGGTTACCCAAACACCGAAACAGATAGCCCCGCCAAGCAGCCGAAAGTTCCAATACGCGCATACAATTTTTTATTCACTTATTTCCCAACGGGTGTACAAACGAAGCCCACAAAAAAACCTCGAGAACTGCAAAGTCAACAAATTGAGTCGCAATTTTAGCTGGAAATTGTGTCGCTAGTTGCTGTTGCTGTTGCTGTTGCAATTGCTGCTGATGCACAGAAAAGGGCACGCAGACGGCGGCAAAAGTGGCAGGGCGGAGAAGTCGGGCGGCTTTAACACTGACTAACTCCGCCTTACCTTGTACATTTGACATTACGAAATGCACGCAGCGCAGCGCAGTGCTCTCCTTGGCTAATCAGTGCGTTCTGGAATTCTGATATTCTGGTATGTTTGCCGTGATATCTGATGGCGAGGTGTGGGGGTAACTCGGAACAGGGGCGATAGTGCACACAAGACTCTTTGACTAAGCCAGCGCCAAGTCAAGAGGTGGGCCACAGGGCAGGTGAGGCCGGTGCGAAGGGCAGGTATAAATGACTCTAGACTAGGGGATACCCTGGCGTATGCGTGATATTGAAAAACCTCATTCAAAGTCCAGATAAAACAGAATTATTAAGTAGCCTTACATCACTTAAAGCTTATGCTTGGTATTTATAGTCTGGAAAAGTTAAGAAATTGTTGTACTAGAGACACCACCATTTTTGAGGTGTTCTTCCGTCTATGAGCCTAGTAAACTATTTGAAATACTGCACACTTTGCAGCTACCCCTCGATAACTAATATTCCCAGGGTAACGATAAGACCGAATAATACAAAATGCAGCCGAAAACGAAGCTATATATAAAGTGCAGCACAGGGGGACACATAAAAAACAGCATAGCGATAAGATAAACGACATCATATCGCTGCAACGAAACTGAAAAACCCTAAGTGCGATGGAAACTCTAGAGACCAACTGATACGGTGGCCAAATTCGGGCCGACTTGGCTCTTTTGATATATGGGCAGCCAGGCAGTCAGGCAGATGATCTACATAAACACATTGTGATAGATGGGCGGCTTGAGGAAGATGGATAGATCCTTGCGGCGGACTTACTTTTCCCCTTCACGAACTCGTGCTTGTTCTTATCCTCCAGACTGGTGGGAATGGTGACTCCGTTGGCTCCCAGTCCCAGGGCGAAGTTGGCCCCGCCCCTCTGCCGATTCGCGGTCGAACTGCTGCGGTATAGGAATCGATCCCGATCCCGGTCGCGATCCCGATCTCGATCTATATCCTGGTGACGCTGGCGATTATTCTGGCGGGCGTAGCGATCGCGGGCCGCCGAGGCGGGCCAAATGCAGATGCAGTGGGCCAGGAGCAGGAGCAGCAGGGGGTAGGGGCAAGGGCCGTTGCGCCGTCGCAGCAGCATTGTTGTTGGGCGCTGGGTGGGTGGTTGGTTGGGCTTTGTGGGCGGTACTGTGGGATGAATCAGGCCCTCTTCCAAGCTATAGCCCCTGACGTCATAGGGGTTATTTTTGATGTATTTCCTTTTCTTGAACTTGCGGTTTACTTTCGGCTTTTTCGCTCGCTCAGCTTTGCGTGCTAAAAATACAGCTTTTCATAAATTTAATTTCGACTCTTTCACTGCGTTCGCTGCTGCTGCCGCTGTTGTTGTTGCTGTTGTTGTTTTGAATTTAAGCTGTTGTCGTTGCAATTTGCCACTGTATGGGTGTTTACATTTCACTGTGTGTGTGTGCGAGAGTGTGTGTTTTCGAGTGGGTCTTTTGAACGCGCAAGTGAGTGTGTGTGAGTGTAGGAACCAGTTTCACATTACGAGCCACAAGAGTCGTCCGAAGGCTTTCCTTATACATGTGTATATACGAAATATATGTGTATGAAATTGTTGTTATTTTTCAGATGTATTTTTCAGCTTCTTTTGAGTTCGCCAACGATATTTCTTTATTTTTTCTCTTATTTTGAGGTTAGAGAGGCGTGCGCAGGCGCAGGCGCAGCTTTCTGCTTTAATTGCCCTAAGCAATTGTTGTGTTGCCCCCGCAGCCGTTAACTTGCACAAAACACACACACTTGGCCATCATTCGAACTGAGCCACAGCCGCGGCTGCCAATTAGCAGGGAATTCACAAAAATACGCTTAGTATTAGTGCCAAAGGCACTTGTTTTGCACCCCGTTCGGTTTTCGGGCCTTTCGCGGACTGCGATTTTTCGGTACTTCGATTAGCACGATCGTCGAATTAGCAAACGCCGCGATCGAGAGCACAGATATGGCCGAGGATTCGAGCTCAAGACGTTCGTACTGAGCGATTCGCGTCTGCGCAGCAACAAGTTGTATTCGAGACTGAGGCCAAATTCGCTGCCAAAGTCGCTGCCACAGTCGCTGCTCTCTCCCACTCTCTCGCCGCGTTGCCCACTCTCTTTCGCGGCGAGGAGAGCGCACACAGGTAAAATAAAGGTGAGCGGCGAAATCTCGAGCCCAGATCAGGTCAAAATAAAAGCAAAGCCAGCGCGGTACGGCCACAAATACAGCACAGCTGCGCCACCTCTCGCTCGCACAGCGCAGCGCTCCCACTCGCACCAGCAGCCAACCATCTACATCCACAATCCACAGGTAATCGTAAACGTAGCAGCGTTTTAAAAAGTCAGCGTAATACGAAACGATACGGCCAGATACATTCGGCAATCTCGCCAGACCAGCAAATGCTCTACATGTCATGGGAAAACGCCAAACTACTACCAAAATGCACAGCATCGAATTTAGCGCCATCTCAAGTGAACGGAAACACCAACTGTAGATCCCTAGTTCGCATAACCTAGCTACAACTTGTAGCTCAACATAGAGTATAGAGCTTGAAGAGTGGCTACCCAAGTTCCACGGATCTATTTGCGCAAAATGTGTTGTTCAATGTTATACTCGTGGAATTTATGGAGAGATAACGACGCACTTTAACATATTCTAATAAAAAAAATAGGAAGAAATTGATAAGAAACATTGAATTCCCTGAAAAGCTTTAATTTGAAACAAGCATAGTCTAAGATCGCAACTTATAGTGTACAATGCTCGAAATAACCTTTTCGACTGCAGATAAGAGTTTTCCAACAAAGGAAAGTACTTGAGCAACAATGTCCTGATTTTCCCCTCCCCCCAGGATGCCCAATAGCAAAGGCGAGGCAAAAAAAAACCAATGCGGGGATTATCCGACAGCATCTTAACTCCGACAGCTGTGCAGGGCATTTAAGATTCGCATCGATTGCAGGTCGTTCCCAGGTAAGATCTTGTGTATATCCCAATTTCTTGGCACTGTTGTTGTTGGAGGTTCTGCTGTTGCGGCGAATTCGGAAACGCTCAGGTAACGATCGCCGCTCTCTCACCTGGCTATATATACTTGGGTGTGTGTGGGCAATGCTGCCATATAAGCACACAAGATCTCGGCATTTGTATCTGTATCTGTATCCGTGTGTGTGTGTGTGTGTGTAACCGTGCCCGCATCTGTAGCTGTATCTGTGTCTGTGAGCCGAGCCGAGACGAGCCTGCGTGGGCCATGGATTGTCTTTTGGCAAAAAGATTTCTGTTCGAGCGTTGTCAACATTGTTAGGGCAGATCCGAGACCGAGATCTCGGTGGCCTCTTCTTCACCTGTTCCCAGCCCACAAGAAATCGGGGTTTTTACGCCTGCGCCATGTGCTCTGCGGGATCGGGATGGAATCGGGCCAAAAGGACACTGTTTCGGCAGGTAAATCCGAAACGTTTTGACCTTTCCACTTTGCCATAACAGTAATACAAAAGGTGCACTTGGAAAAGCGCAACCAACTCCATGAGCCGCATTTGAATCTCGAATCCCACGCTGTGACTCTCGAGATGCGTTGCATTGTCTTGCTCGGCGCTTTGTTTCAGACCATGAAAATACATTTAAATTGAAAAGCGTTTCCAAGCGTTTCCAAGCGTTTTAGAAAGGGGAAAAGCGCCGCGCTTCGATACTCAGCCATAATCAAACATATTAATAGCAGTCTGTCCCATGCCAGAAGACCTCAATCAAAGATCCACTGCCCAACCCGTACAGAATCATCTGTCAAAATCGAAGAGCATGCAACTGACAGCCGAACATCGAGTTGAGAACGATCTCAGAACACAGAAACTCAGAACTCTGAAACCACTTCAGGGCACTCCGCCACTCCGCCACTCCGCCACTCTGCCACAGCGAACCTCAGGTAAACGCCGCTCAAAAGGTGTAAGATGCCGAGATTCCAAGATGCCCCGACCCACACTCATAAACATTTGATCGAGCGTACAAAATGCCATGCGAAGAGAAATGTTTTTTAACTCCCCCACTCCAGTGCACTCCAGCACTCCATCTGTCTATGATCTCTCCTCTGGTTTTCCCAATTTCAAAAGAAAGCCTCGAGAACCAGGCCCTTGAAGCGATTCCTGGCCGCTCTACAGGTTGTCGGAATCGTCGGAATCATTGGAATCATCGTGATCATCACCATCGATGTCTGGCGAGTCGACGTCGAGGCGTTACTTTCAAGTGCCACGCAGATTAAGAGCAACAAAAGATCGGCTCAGGAGGCGCTCAAGTGTCTCGGGATGAGAGGGATGCTCCAGCCCATAGGGCGCAACGAATTTGCTGCATTATGGAGTGTTGCACATTGGCACATGGAACACACAAGTACATATGTACCTACAGCGCATTATCTCGACTTGGAATTTTTGTACTTGCGAAGTTATTATAAAAGTGCATGTTGAATAAAAAATAAAGAGTTCATTTGAAATATTTTGTGCCAGGCTATATTTATGGGCCATACAAATATTTAAGAGCCAACGATTGGACACTAGCTTCATCGTTAGTCTAAAAATACAACAACTTACAGCTATTTCTAGAATACAATGTGATTAAATAACCATTAGCATGTTTGAAAGAGAGCCCTAAAAGCGGTGAAATGTTTGCAAAACAAGTTATTTAAGCACAATGAAAACGGAACTATGCCAATTCATGCCCTTAACTATTAGCTTAACCACTTGGCCAACTTTAGCGCGTGCCAGCCCTAACACCTGAAAGCGCGTAATTGGATTACCAGTTTTTTCGGCCCTTTGGCATGGCCAGGAAGTCCGTCGATACAGATGATAGATCGATCAGATTCAGATTCAGACTCCGTCTGGGGCTGTGCTTCATCAGCATTCAACTTGTCACACGGCTGTGAAAAGCTGCTTAGAATTAAAGCTAATTGCCGGGGCCCCAACGTGATGCGGCACATTTGACTTGGCTGGGATGGCATGGAGCATGGAGCATGGATTCCTACTATTCAGCCCGGCTAATTGGTCATAAGATCGAGCGCGGTCTTAACTCAACTTTAACCCCCAGCCAAATGGCAAAAGGCAGGCGTGCAGATACGCAGAAACTTTGACTTCATCTCATCGTTTTAGCATAAAGAGGTTTTTGTTTTTTGTTTCTGGCTTTTTTTAACTGATTTTTTTATTGATTGTCGCAGTCGTCTGCTGTGTGTTGGTGCACGACTCACGTTTCAAAAAAAAACACAAAAACAAGCTGGGTAAAATAAGAAATACAAAATACAAAGAGTGCCTCGCCGTCTCTTGGGCCGATTTCGAGTTTTTTGAGCTTAGCGCTGTATTCCGCGTATTTTTATTTCGCCGTTCGCTTTTCGTTCCTTTTAATGTCTTTGTAAACATAATTGCAACAACTCCAATAACAGATTGTTTGCGCGACTTTAATCGCTTTGTCGTGAAGTGTGAAATATGAGCGTCCAAGTCGCTGGGGAGCTTTCGGCGGATCTCCATCTACGTCGCGATCTGCGGCACTTCGCGGTCCCCAGTACTCCCAGTACTCCCAGTACTGCCGCCCGACCTATAAATACCCACAAAAATATTTTGTCGAGTCTGTCCCGCCGCCCATAATATTTGCAATGTTGGCTTGTGCCGCTAAATGTAAATTATGGTGGCCGGCTACATTGTGGGGCGGCCATTTTGGCAGCGGACGGCAACAAGTTCAATTAGCGCATCGGTTCGATTTGCTAAAATTTAATCCGGGCATAAAGCACGAAGTGAATGCCAATGCCACTGCCACTCCGGCCAGATAAGCAGAGTCACCACCTCCGGAGAATCGAGAATCGGAGAATCGGGGAAAGAGAGAATCGGGCGGCAATAAGCCGAGAATCTGGGAAACGGACGTTTTAGCCACGCACACGTGTGCTCCACACAGAAAAACTGCATATAACATCCATACTTATATTTCAATTTCAGTACTTCATGTTTCATTGGTAAGAAAACATAGACATCGAAGGCGCGCTCAGAATTCCATATAATAACGAATGTACAGATAAGAGTCAGTGGGAAACCATCCAGCCAATGAAGCCCAGTATTTCGCTCAGTGTGAGAGAAGGCCCTTTGCCTTTGGACCTTGGAGTGCAGGGCGCCCGTCGACAACAGCATGTTGCAACAACACTCGACAGCGGCAACCTGTGGAGCCTGCGTGCCATTAGCCATGGAGCATGAAACAAAAGCCGAGCCAGCCAAGATGGAGCACTCAGGAGGAATCGGATCGGAGTGGAATGGAGTGAAGTGAAGTGGAGTGGAGTGGAGTGGAGTGGAGTGGTGTGGAGTGGAGGGCTGCCACAATGCATTTGCGATAAATGGCAGGCTTGCAGGCTTGCAGGCATGGAAGGCCCTTAAAAGCCAGCGACAACAGCGACGAAGAAGTGAAAGATTTGCGCAGTGAGATAGCTCATTTTGGATCTGAGCCGGGCCTGGGCCAGTTCTTCGTTTGTTACCTTGGCTAATCGGCGGCTATGTAAGATGGTTGTTGTACGTGCGGCGACACAGTCGCAGCTTCAGCCCAAAGTCAAGACCACGAACGTGCTGTTGCTGTTGCTGTTGCTTTTGCTGTTGCTGCTCGATGTTGACACCAGCAACAACAGCAGCAACATCAGTCCTCGGTCCTCAGCCAAAGCCAAAGCCTCAGTCGACCACAGCCGCATTCCGAAATGTAAGGATTCCTGCAGCTCCAGAGGCCGCCCCACTGGCAGCAGCAGCGGCAAGGTCAATAAATCCAGAAATCCAGAAATCCAGATCCACTCCCGATTAGTGATGGCTAGGGTATTACTACCCATGCCCAGCTACGCGGATGAAAGCCCATAACTATTGGCATATACGGTAGGAAGGGTCTTCACCCTTTCCTCACAAAATACCAGAATGTTTGATTCTAACTTTTGGCAAAAGAATATTATTTTTCGAAAGCAAAGCCAAGGAAACAATTAGAAGCCATTCAGACGACATCGCAGCAGCATTTGTGTTGTGCGTAGCGTTAGAACAAAGCCATAAAATCGCAATTTATAAAACCAACGCTGAATTTTGCCTGCCTGTCACTAACTGAATCCAAACAAAGCACTCATAATTAGATGAAAATTAATTTCGTGCCTATCGCTTGAGTTCAAAGTGCGAACATTCCAAGACGAATATTCAAATTCCTGTGCTATTCATTTATTGCGGCTCATTTGCTTATTTCAAATGAAAATGATTAGTTCAGCGTTGTTTTTGTTGCTCATATTTCTGTGTGTTTTTCTGAGTGTGTGCAGTCAGATTTTCGAACTGGAACCGGTTGTGGCACCAGTTACCAAAGCTTCGACTTGGCCAGCGAGAAATCGGGAGAGCGATCGGAGTACGAGATGCTGGCAAGCCAAGCCAAACCCACACACCTACCCATCATACCTCTCCATGTGGGCACACGAATATCCGAAGAGTCGGCTGCTCAGCATCCACACATCGGAGGGGAAATAGGGGCAATTCTTGGAGATTGCGGGGCTACATTTCCCCTCCTTCGATCGCCAGCGAAATTCCTGCAAGCTTAATGTAGCGAGTATGGGGCCTTTATTATAATATTGGGAATAAAACTTAGCCATGCTATAATAAACAGACTAATCTAACAAAAGTGTATAAATGGAATGTATATAGTGTTCAGTAGAAATTAATAAAAATCATGGAAATGCCCATTTTGAGCGCCTTATCGCCTCGTATGCAAAAGAATAAAGTGTGAGGTCTGGATTGACAATCTCTTAGTACGGAAATCGACATGAAGATCGCCGCAGCTCTGATTATTCTGCTTAGTTCAATTGTATTTGGAAATGGGGAATTTTTGGAGCCGAACTGCGGAGTTTCGGTTTCGAGCAATGGTAATGTGATGCCTCTGATATTCAATGGTCGCCCGGCTGATATGTTTGGTAACCCATGGATGGCATTGATAGTAACCACAGAACCCAATGTATTAAGAATGTGTGGTGGATCCCTCATCACAAACCGTAAGTACTTAAGGTGATTGGAAAAGCATAAGTAAATGTAAACTCTTAAAAATATATATATTACCATTTACAGGGTTTGTTCTTAGTGCTGGGCACTGCACATATAATAGCCCCACGTGAGTAATACCCCATCTATCATGGAATCCTTAATCAGTGTCCTGTCCTCTCGTTAAAGAGACGTATACTTAGGTGAGTTCGACAGGTCAACCATCACGGATTGTTCCGATAAAGCCTGTATGCCGAATGCCATTAAAATCGCGGTCGACGCGTATCTAAAACACCCCAAGTATGTGCACTACAACCAAAACGACATAACTCTGTTCCGACTGATCACCCCGGTGCAATTCACTGGTAAGCTAGTCGCCATTCTCTAAGGGATATCAGCCAAAAATGAATCCTCCGCAGCCTACATAAAGCCAATCTGCCTGGTGACCGACAATGACGTCTTAAACTACATCACATATATGAATGTCACTGGATGGGGCATTACAGAAAACAGAGTGGCTAGCCAAGTCCTAATGACAACCACCCTTACCAAAATGGATCGCTCCTACTGCTCGCACGCGTATGGCTACCAAGTGGATGAGTCTCACATTTGTGCCTGGGACTACACCTCAAGCGCGTGCCCAGGAGATTCGGGGGGCCCTTTATTTGCTAAAGTTCGAATTAGTGGTTTAGATCGAGTCGTTCAGCTCGGCATAGTCAGTTATGGGAGCGAGCAATGTCGCGGAATGGGGGTCTATACCAACGTTTTCTACTATATGAACTGGATCAAGGATGCCATACGAGTTGGAACTCCCAACACCATAAATAATAGTGCTGCAGCTTGGAAATAGCGAGTATTTGTTGATTTCAAATAAAATTCTTAAAGGCAAAAATAAAATTCTTGTGCTCTCCCAAGAGCTTGTTTCCTATACTCGTACCTAGTGATACGCGCTCTTCCCTTCGGCCTTATCACAAATCCACAAACATCGAACAGCTCCCAGTTGCGAGCTTCGAACAGCTCAGCATCAGTATGCTTGCACTGCTGGAATATGAGAAACACTGAAATCTTGGTACTGGCCGTGCCTTTGGCTGCCTGCTCAGTAGTTGTGATGGGTGCGGTAGGGGACAGCCTGCTGGAGCAACCGTGTGGCACTGTGCCGATTCGCAAATTCAAAATTGTCGGAGGTCACGACGCCCACGTAGCCAGCACTCCTTGGATGGCCATGGTCACGGGGCAAGCGGGTTTCCTTTGCGGGGGCTCACTGATCGCAAGTCGTAAGTTCCTAAGCAAATCGTAAGTGGAGCAAAACTAGCTATTGATTTTCAGGCTTCATACTGACGGCTGCACATTGTGTGGGTAACAAAAAACTGTGAGTATACAGAAAATCCTTAGATGCAATCTACCACTTTGCCAACTTAACAGAAAGGTCCGCCTTGGCGTACTCGACCAAGAAGCAGAAGCACAGGAGTTCGATGTTGATGGCATGTTTCTCCATACTGGTAGTGAGCTTGGCAAACACGATATAGCTCTGTTAAGACTGGCCAAGCCAGTGCAATATGATGGTAATGAGCGAGGCGACCTAGAAATATTTGCTTAATAACGCATTGTCTGCCAGATAATATCAGTCCGATTTGCTTGCTTCTGGACCCGCTGTTTAAGGACTTGGATGAGCACATTGTCAAGTTCAGAACCTACGGCTGGGGCCAAACCCAATCTAAGGACTCCAGTCGCATGCTCCAGAAAACCTCGCTCTTCAACCTCCGCCGAACTGAGTGCACGAAGCAGTTTCCGTACCAGGAAATCGATCGGAGTCATATCTGCGCGGAACGGGCTGGTGCCAGCACTTGTAGTGGCGATTCCGGTGGTCCTCTGACCGCCATCGTCACCTATGGTCATGTCCCAACGGTGTTCCAGTTTGGAGTCACAAGCTACGGTGCTGAAAACTGCTCCAAAGCCACTGTCTTCACCAACGTAATGGCCCATTTGGAGTGGATCGTTAATACCGTTCGCGTATCAGGGAATTTCTAATGTCAAACCTTTGAAGAATCGAAAGCGAACTAAAGTTGAGCTAATAAATCCGGAGAAAATCAGCGCTTTGTTATTACTTACTTATTTTACGATATATTTATAAAACAAACCCTTTATGTACAAATCATTTTATAAATACTTTGAATCGCGTTGATACCCTCGCATATAACAATGAGTAAGCTTACTTTCTTATTTAGTAATGCAAGAACCAGATAAGGATTGCTCTGGCGACAAATGTATTAAAACAATGTGCAGACCATGCTAAACATCATTGAGTTCAAAATGAATTGGCTGCAGGTTTGCTTCATTCTCGCGCTGTGTTCTTACGGATCGCTGGCCGAGGAATTGCTGGATATGAACTGTGTTAAAATACCAGTGGGCATCAAGGAGCGAATTTTTAATGGTCAAACTGCTGACATAAAGTCTCATCCATGGATGGCACAGATACTCACTCAGGGAAATCATCGCTGTGGAGGCTCGCTGATAAGTTCTCGTAGGTATTTCAAGTAACCAGTGTGAATCTGGAGTAACCGAGGTGATTTCCAGAATTTGTTCTGACAGCAGCGCACTGCAAAAGCCTACATCGTATGTAAGTAGCCACAAACACCTTTCAGTTCGCATTTACTTTCACTTCCACTATAAAGGAAAGTGCGTTTGGGTGGATATGATGGGACCCCGTCCAGTTGCACTTGTTCAAGCAACTACTGTTCACCATTAAGTGGAGAATTTGATGTGAAGAGGATATATGTGCCCGATTCCTACACGAGCTACCACGAATTTGACATTGCCCTGCTGCAGCTGGCAGAGTCGGTAATTTATAATGGTAAGCATACAACTTATAACTCATGCACAGCTTATTATGAGTTAAGATCACTTACGGAATCCTCTTCCCCAGCTCACATTAGGCCGATCTGTGTGCTGCAAACTTCGAACAAGAACAAGCAACAGCGATTCCTGAACTACGTCCCCATGTTCAATGTGACCGGCTGGGGAAAAACAGAATCGGGTCTCCCGAGCACAACACTCCTGTCTGCCAGCTTATACCATCTCGACCGCAGATACTGTTTGCTCAACTTTAACTGGCAAATAGGTTGGCCACACATCTGTGCTGGCCATTCGCAATCCTCCGCGTGCACCGGAGATTCGGGCGGTCCGTTGAGTGCGGAGATGACCTTTTCGGAATGGAAACGCCCTATTTTGTTCGGAATAGTCAGTTATGGGGCTCATGATTGTCGTGAAGCTAGCGTTTTCACGAATGTTTTGCATTACTCTACGTGGATTAGCCAAATAGTCCGCACACACACATCCGCTCAAAAGTCTACAGTTTTCTCTGACCACTTCCAAATTCAAGGCAAAAATAATTTTTGTAATTTTAAATATACATTTATTTAGAAGTGCTCCAATGCAATACAATCAGGTCCCGAGAAGTCAATCATATAATTCCTGGAACTAGTACATATGTATGTACATACAACGAATGACTTGGAAGTAACGATAAGCTTTTCTGCGATATGCATTAATAAATGGCGTTGGCATTTGAATTTTCAGTCAGTTTGTGATTTACTACAGATGCATATCATGGGAGCTGGAGCTGTGCAGCTTCTTCTTTTAATAATCCTGGCTTTCCTAAAGGTACATAGCCAGCCCCATTTACTGGACCCTCAGTGCGCTATGGCCAGATCTGATCAGGGACAATATCGGGTGATCTACGGCAAGTCCGCAGACTTGTTTTCCAATCCCTGGATGGTGATCATCATCAAGGGCGGGATGATGACGTGCGGCGGGTCGCTCATCACGCCACGTATGTATGATTTTCAGGAATTATGAATTATGAATAACTTGTGATTTTTCAGGATACGTTCTGACCGCTGCGCATTGCAATAGCGAACCCAAAAGTCAATTGTAAGTGTCCTCGGAGTAAGCTGATTGGTTAATTGTTTACATCTTCCGATTTAGAACAGTGCGCTTGGGTGAGTACGACGTTAATCAGCCCATCGATTGCACGAGCTATGGCTGCATTTCCCGGCCCAAGGAGATCAATGTGACCAAAATATATGTCCCCCATCAATATTTAAGCTTCCGCAAAAATGACATAGCTTTGCTCAGGCTGGAGACGGTAGTTCAGTATGGAGGTAAGCTGGCGCACGCTACATACGCATTTAATCGAACAATCTGCCCACTCAGACCACATTAGATCGATCTGCTTGCTTATGGGAACCTACAACTGGGCGTCGGGCATACTGAAAAATGTAAAAAAGTTCAACACCACCGGATGGGGTCGCACGGAATCCCACACAAGCAGTGCTGTCCTGCAGCAAATAACCATGACGCACCACAGCCACAGCTACTGCGCCCAGTTTTTTGGCAAGCAATTAGACAGCAGCACCCACATTTGCACGGCCAGCAGCACGGGCTCCACTTGCATGGGCGATTCGGGAGGACCCCTAACTGCGAGGATGCATTTTGGGTCGGAAAAGAGGGTGGTACTCTTCGGAGTGGTCAGTTACGGGCTAATTGACTGCAGTGGACCCACTGTCTTCACGAACGTGATTCCCTTTGCGAATTGGATCGAGACTACAACCAAAAGAAATTAACTTGAAATAAGCGATTATATACTTTTCTGCACATGTAAGCAGGTCCACAGTGATGTATTGAACCTTACGAATGCTCTTAATAAACCGTCATCTTAAATATGGAATGAAAAGCACATACACTAGTACATAAAGGCATGTATGTATATAGTCGTATGTGCAGGAATGATAAGGCATAAGTCGTTTTCTCTGGCATAAAGTCAGAGCCCACTAACATAATTCAGTTGATCAGCTCGCTTCGTACGCCATGTGCTGGATTTTGCTGTTGGGGTGCCTCTGTTCGTGGCACCACCATGCGACTGCACAATTTCTGGAGCCCAACTGCGGATTTCTGTCGCCGAAGGCACTCCAAAACGAGAAGCATCAGGCGCACATATCGGAGAGTCCTTGGATGGCTTACTTGCACCGCTCTGGCGAATTAGTATGTGGCGGAACTCTCATAAACCATCGTAAGCATGCACCACACGAACGTAGTCCTTAGCTTACGAGCCACATTTCCCAAAGGGTTCATCCTGACAGCCGCACACTGCATAAGCGAGGTGGACAGCTTGTAGGTATTCTATGAATCCATTCAAAATCAACTGAAACGCAGTCTGTTCACAGGACTGTGCGACTGGGCGAGTACAACAGCCTAACTAGTGTTGACTGCGACGGCTCCGATTGCAATCCACCTTCGGAAGATTTTCAAGTAGAGCTGTCCTTCAGGCATCGGGGCTACTCCAAAATCAATAGGATCCACGACATTGGCCTTCTCCGACTGGCCAAGTCGGTGCGCTATAAAGGTTTCAGATACACATATGTATAGAGTGCAGTTCAACATCTTACTTCCATAGTTCACATCAAGCCGATATGCCTGATTACAAATACTACGCTTCAGGCGCAGATTGGAAGGCTCCACAGGCTGGTCGTCACTGGCTGGGGCCGCAGCGCAGCTCAATATACGAACCACATCGTCAAGTCCATTCGGGTAACCAGAGAGCCTTGGAGTGTGTGCAGCAAAACATACTTGAAGACCCGCCCCTGGACTCAGATCTGCGTGAGCCACCAATCCGGAGAGGCGTGCAGTGGCGACTCCGGAGGACCCATGGGCCACGCGGTTCGCCACAACGGCCGAGTGGTCTTCGTGCAGGTCGGAATTGTCAGCTATGGCAACTCAAAGTGCCTCAGCCCCAGTGTATTCACACATGTGATGCCATATATCAATTGGATCGTGTGGGCCGTTGAGCACTACTAACTTTTGAGGAATGTACTCTATACCCAAGCTCAAATATCAACATATTTTTCAGCAAAGAACGAACATTAAATAAGTCAATTTTAAACTCATGCGAACAACTTTCATTTCATTTTAAGCTGTGCCCTTAAAAAAATGTAGTGCGACCTCTGACGGCTGCTTAAGGAACATCGTTCTGCTGCCTTCTCTTTGTTCCGTTTGTTGGCGCTCAATTCTTACATTTTACACTTTTCTTACACATTCATTTGTAGCGACACCTAGTGTATATAACGTACACACCACAGATTTAGCCAAGGCTCGAACCAACTACTGCCTTTGGTGAATTTCGTTATTTCTTACAAAGAAAAATGTTCATGTATCCCAAAAGTATACTTTAAATTTTAACAGATAATTTTTACATTAGTGGTGTCAAATAAATGGTGTAAAAAATCTGTAACTAAAAGATAAAAAGGGAAAATAATATTTAAGAAATATGTAATCTGTAAACTAGTTTTTTTCTTACTTCCAGTATACATATAACATGTGTTTGTATGATTCCCCCGCTAAGCCATGTTTTTAATACCTAAGCAAAAAATATTCGCATAAAAGCTGATAATTTGATGGGTATTTTGGGTATATAGAAGTAAGAGCTATAGGCTGAGATATAAAGTATATAACATATGATGTATTTGTATGATTCCCCTGCTAGGCTAACACGTTGTGGAACACCTTTGAAACAGAGGGCAAACTGCGATTAGCGATCGATTCATGAGCATTATTCATGTTCGGCGTACAAAGGTGAGCCCTTGTGGCCGTCGATTCGCGCCGCATTGTGAAATCACAATCACGAGCCGAAATTGAATGCTTGTGCGCGTGTGCTGGCCGTGCAAGTCCAGTGCCCACTGTGCTGGCTCTGGCTTGTCGGCGTTCGATGTGCCAGTTATGCGGCGGTCGCACAATGGTCGTCGCAGCAAATAAACTAGTACGGAACACCATTAACCCCCGTGTGCCACTGCTGCACGTCCACAGGTCACACTGTTCTGCAGTGACTCCCTAACTTCGGAGCTGCGTTGGCGTTGGCGCAAGCGCACTCACTTGGATCGAGGGACTGGTGGGGGAAAGAACCGCCGGCAGCCTGGTGGGCAACCAGGCGTTAAGTTTTTCCAACCTGGTATTTTGGTCTGTGCTTTGTTTTGCTTGCTGTTTTCTGCCGTCCCGCGGGTCAAAGGGCGGGGTAACTCGAACTCCCTTTTGTCGGGCAATGCGCATGCGTGTCGGTGTCGCCACCACCGAGCCAACGAACTAAAAGGGGTAGCGGGGGTGTACGTAAAGTGGGATGTTGGCCTTTTGTCCAATATCGCCGAGTGCAACAATTGGCTGCCAGCTGGGTATCTGTTGCACTCACAAATGGGCACTGAGATAAACGAACTACCAACTTCTATGTTCTGAGGTTATGATCTATAGAATCATCGAACAAATGTAAAGTAAACTCCTGCTCCAGAGATTTCAAGCGAGTGAAAGTCCACTGAGACAGAAGGCTGGACAATACGATGCCGTTCAAGCCTAATTAATAATTTTTTCCTGTGCAATTACCGCGAGCCGTTCTTGCCATAAAACACCTCATGCATAACTTTGGTATCCCCCGATTCGTCGCCACGACAACGGAGAGCAGCGTTTTGGCCCGGCCAAAACAATTGTGCCACGGCGTTCCGCTGCCTGCGCTGCCTCAACCGGCGTTGCAGCTTAAAGTTGAATGCTGCATTTGATTACGATACTGCGGCGATTGCCACAGCGGCCTTAATGAATTTCCAATTGTTTGGCATTTTATTCTCGTTTGGGATTCTTTTTTGTACCGATTGTTTTCTATCTTTTTTTCGGACGCTCATTCAATGCATTCGAACTAAGCTTCGTCACGAGCCCAGCTGCCTAATTGCCTTACAAACCTTTAATTGTCAGCTCACGAATGCATAGAGACCCAGATTGGACATCTGCAGCGAACTCACCTGCAATGATGAAAAGATAGATGATAGTGATTAGCTGATAGTTTTTAGGTCTCTGTCTTTAGCCGCCGAGGCTCATCAAGTCTTAAATACTTTTCGTATAAAATAATTCATGATTCTAACATTTTTCTGCCAAGCAACTTGCTCACCATTCCGAGTTACTGAAGATTGCAGAAGCGAGTGTTCGATTGATACCCACGGCAATTGCAAAACGCTGACAAGTTTGCTTGTTGGCCGATTGCTGGCTTTCCCAGCACTTGCAACACTTTCGCTTCCCAGAGAGTTTCCGCAACCCAACTCCGCCCACCCTCCCCCTCTTTCCATCCGACTTTCAATTCACACGCTGTGCGCCCAAACGCGAAAAAGTTCTCACGACACTGAAAAAAGCCAGAAAAAAGATGCAGCCAGATGAGCTGATCCCCACTCCCTTTTCGCACTCGCACTCGCACTCACACTCACACTCACTTTTTGTGCCAGAATCATCGCTGCATTTGCCCCAAAGCACAAGTTGCACAGTTGCACAGTTGCACAGCTCGGTGGCAATGTCAAGAATAAGTTGTGGCACATCTTGACATATGCGGTCGAGAACCCAGTTCCAGATGCTAATTGTGGGTTAGCAGCACTTCGGTTTTTGCGATTTGTGCCAATTTGTTTTGGTCTTGTTTACCACAACGAGAAATACTGAAATACTGATGCAAAGGTCAATGCCACAGTTTGACAAATGAATTTCAAAGCGAAACGAGATCGCTGCCACCGCAGTGAGTAAGCCAATTGAAATTTCATAATTTCTTGGAATCCAATTGTGGAGGCAATAAAAACACTATTCCTACGTAAGAAACTGGAGCAAAGGGAACATTACTGCCTGGAAAAGTGGGAGAAGCGCGTACAAAGATCTTAAGATGATAGTTATAGCAAAACTCATTTAAATGTTATTTGTTTAGAGCAACAAGCTAAAGGTTTTCCCTATGTTTCGCCAAACCTCTTCGCCATTGAGCTAACTTCTTTCCCAATACTATTGGGATCCAGTTGCTTGGCTTGTTTCCAAGTTATAATCCCAACCTTTCGAGAACCGTATCTCCATCTCGGCAATTCGATTGTGCTCTAAACGCTTTCCGAATTCCCACAATTTCGGCATCCGCTTCGCAGCGGCAATCGCTCTCATATGCAAATGCCCACCTGACGGCGAGGGAAACAAAGGGTTGACCCACAGTGAACTTCGTTGAAACTTCAGAGTGAGGGGCCATCTTCTCACATTATAAATCATACGAGCCCGAATTCGAATTCGAATCCGGCGGAGTCAAAGGGGCCGAATGTTAATTAAGTGCTAACTGCAGATTCTCAAAATCGTGCCTTCACATCATGATTTGATGGGCAATAAAAATGTGTAAATCTATGGCGAGTTCGTAGGCGGATGCTGGGCATATTGAGGCACAGATGAAATGGCAGGCTAGCAAATGTTTATTTGCACTTTGCACTGTTGTCACCAATGCATGGCTATGCTCCACTAGAGGGAGCTATGTACATCACACATACATATGTAAGTGACCGTATCAGTTGGCTTGCGCAATTGAATGTTTGTCGGGCGGAGCGACTGGATGGGTGGGATCGCCTTGGATCACCTCAACTACCACGCTCCGCATTGGTGAACAAAGTCCGTAATCTGGCTTATCACGCCTCTGGCTGCTCTGGTTGGCACTGGTGGCTCTGGCCGGCAGCTATCTGTCCGTAGAGCATGGGTCATGTCAAAAGCTATCGCAGCTGCACGGGAATTCAATAAAGGTCCACATCGCTGAGCTGCACGGTTTTGGGGCAGCAAGTCGGACACCGAGCTTCGCTGTGCCAGCGGAATTTCAGTGGTGTAATAACAAAAAGTACAGCGGAATCGAGGACGACAACCGAACGAACAACGCTGGCGACAACAAGCCTGCTCGATTCCAGCGAATGAAAATAAATAAAAAGCCAAAGAATATATATTAAACACACACTGCGGCGGCAGCAGAAAAAATAATAATTGAAAAACAAATGGAAAACGAGCGAGAGACACACACGAGCACTAAAGCTGAAATAAAATATGAAATGTTGGCAATTAATGAACGGAATGAACAGAATGAACAGAAAAGCAAGGGAGCTGTGGAAAATAATGAAAAAATGAAAAAGTGAGCTTGCGCCATGACCGATCCGACTACCGATACCAGACGCCTCTGACTCCAACTGGGTGACCACTGGGCTTGGCCACGGCCCAGTGACTTCTGCCGGAGTCTTCTGCTCTGCACATGTGCACTGAGGGAAATTGCTGGCCTAGAACCACGCACATCCGGAGCTCAGTACTCCAAGTAGTATGTGAAGTTAACTTCTGCAGTATGAAGCTAGCTTGATGTTGGGTTTATTCATACCATTAGAAGATCTTTAGTTCGATCTGCATTTTGTTCAAACAAGTATTTGGTATAAAGCGCTTATTTCGTGAATTTTTGCGCTGTGAAATAGACTTTTGTTCTAGGCGTAGAGAGCTGGGGATTTCAATCAAACCATGTGCGGATCGTTAGCTCCGCAGACTCAGCCCGTGGCAGCTGGCGGAGGAGGAATAGTTGGCCGCGGAGGAGGAGGAGGAGGAGGAGGAGGAGGAGGAGCAACTGGACGCGATGCAGATGCCCGATTGCGGCATGGCAACTCAAGTTGGCAAACAAGGCATTACTGCGATGCTCGGATCCCGGCTCCTGGTCGCTTTAATTAAAGCGAAGACAAAGGGTAAACACTGAGTGGCAGCCAAGCAGCCAAGCAGCCAAGCAGTTAGGCAGCCAGGCTGCGGCCAGGAATGGAGTGATCAACTGGCTCGGTTTGGTCAGTAGGATGCCACTTGGCAATTGATCACAATTATGTCGCTGCAGCAGCGCCATATTGGGGCCTTGAGTGGCCCCCGCCTTATTGGGCATCTTGGAAAATTCACATCATTTCCAGCTGGCAATTCGGTCAAAGAGTGCAAAAAGCCAACTACATCCAGCATACAGCCAGCAGTGGTGAAAGTTTCCAACTGGCACTCCAAACTCCACTCGCCATCGACGCGTTCAGTTGGGGCATAGATTCT